CTTCTTTCCTATCAAACATCTATCGTCCTTATCTCTCCTCCTTCTTTCCTATCAAACATCTATCGTCCTTATCTCTCCTCCTTCTTTCCTATCAAACATCTATCGTCCTTATCTCTCCTCCTTCTTTTTTGTGTTTGTTACTCTCATGTAATACCTATAATTCTTCATTACTTGTATGACCTTACTGTCTTCCGCTTACTAAAACTAAACTTATTTATTTTTTATTGGGTTTGTTACACTTAGAATTACAAAGTGGATGGTTGGAGGGCGCCACTGGGAGGTTCTGCTCCTTCACTTTCCCTCTGTAGTTTCTGTCTGTCTGTCTGTTTGACAGACTGCCTCCCCCCCCCCCTGCTCTTATTAATCAGACAAACAAACAACTACAAAGTTGTATCTGACATTTTTGGCCGTTTTGAGTTACTACAATGAGGCCAGAAACCAAAATGTTCTAAAGGTCTATGCTCCAACAAAAACGTTAGGTTATTCGGAGTCGCTATCAAGATATTCAAAGAAATGGATTCGAAAAAGCTTGACATGTTGTGAAACTGAAAATTTTTTGACGTCAAATTTCTTCAAACTAGGTACTTGGCAGATAGAACTTTGACTACTTTGTGACTCTATGGTAGCGTAAAGTCTTGCCCAGATGAGCATAGATGTGTGTTGCTCTTAGAGTATGTATCTGTATATAACTCCAAAGGTCTAGTATTTAAATTCCTGCATGTGGTTGAATGATGCATTTGATATGTACATTTTGTCAGCTTTACTTCTCCTTTCATATTGAATTTTAATGAGAGCAATATATATGATTAAATTTTTTAAATGTATACCTGCATTTGTTTTTACGGTCCTGTACAGCCAAGGAAAATTTCCCTAAGTACTATCTTATCTTATCTTATCTTATCTTATATCCTTCTTGTGTGAATAACAGGACGCCCAATCTTCATCCGAAATGTTAGTTTTTGGTATTATTTTTTTTTCAAAGTGATACAGCTCCACAAGTGGCTGTTCTCAGTCCCATTGTCGATGGCGTAACGGTGTGTTAAATTTCTGTGTAGCCATGTTTTGAAGCATTCATAATTTAAGGCAGGCTGTGGGTGGTTGGCGGGTGCTCTGGTGTGGTTTGCTTCTTCTTTCCTATCAAACATCTATCGTCCTTATCTGCCCTTCTTCTTTTTTTATGTTTGTTACTCTCTTGTAACACCTCTAATCTTCTGGCGCTCATATGACCTCATGCAGTTGCGAGTGCCGTAAAACCTCTACTAAAACAAACTAAGGCAGGCTAAGCGTCAAAAGTCTAATGCCGTTAACTAAACAAATCTTGAAACATGGAGTTACGTGGCTCTGCCTTTGGACGGCGGAATAGGACATGGGACATCACTGATCGCCGGGTCACAGGGGGGAGCGTGTGTCAACAAAAACAGGACCTCCTTCTCCATCTGCCCCTCCTCCTCCTCCTCCTCTTCTTCCTCCTTCTCCTCCTCCTCCTCTTCCTCCTCCTCCTCTTCCTCCTCTTCCTCCTTCCCCCTCCTCCTCTTCTTCCTCCTCCCCTCCTCCTCCCCTCCTCCTCCTTCCCCCTCCTCCT